ACAGTGGTAGGCCTGATTATCAACAACAACAAGACAGCCTACAGGGAGGAGGTGAGAGCCCTGGCAAAGTAGTGCCAGGAAAATAACCTCTCCCTCAACGTCAACAAAACAAAGGAGCTGATCATGGAACACATGAGACAGCAGAGAAAGCACGCCCCCATCCACATATACGGGGCTGCAGTGGAGAGGGTCAAAAGCTTCAAGTTCCTCAGCGTGCACATCACTGAGGACTTGAAACAGTCCCTCCACACTGACAGCGAGGTGAAGAAGGTGCAACAGCGCCTCTTCAACCTCATGGGGCTGAAGAAATTCGGCTTGGCCCTTAAGACCCTCACTAACTTCTACAAATGCACCATAGAGAGCATTCTGTCGGGCAGTATCACCGTCTGGTATGGCAACTGCAACACCTGCAACCGCATGGCTCTCCAGAGGGTGGTGCGGTCAGCCAAACGCATCACCGGGGGCACACTGCCTGCCCTCCAGGACATTTACAGCACCTGGTGTCACAGGAAGGCCAAGAAGATTATAAAGGACCTCAGCCACCCGAGCCATGGCCTGTTTATCCCGCTACCATGTAGAAGATGGAGACAGTACAGGTGCACCAAAGCTGGGACCGAGAGATTGTTAAGCAGCTTCTATCTCCAGACCGTCATCACTAGCCGGCCCCCGCCCGGTACCCTGACCTGAACCTTAGACACTGTCACTAGCCGGCTACCATCCGGTACCCTACCCTGTACCTTAGAGACTGCTGCTGGTCACTTCAATGTTTAAATACTGTTTTACCCACTTTATATGTACACTATATATATACAAAAGTATCTGACACCCCTTCAAATTAGTGGATTTGGCTATTTCAGCCACACCTGTTGCTGACAGGTGTATAAAATCGAGCACATGTCCATGCAATCTCCATAGACAAACATTGGCAGTAGAATTGGCCATACTGAAGAGCTAAGTGACTTTCAAAGTGGCACCATCATAGGATGCCACCTTTCCAACAAGCGAGTACATCATATTTCTGCCCTGCTAGAGCTGCCCCGGTCAACTGTAAGTGCTGTTATTGTGAAGTGGAAACATATAGGAGCAACAACGGCTCAGCTGGAAGTGTTAGGCCGCACAAGCTCACAGAACGGGACCGCCGAGTGCTGAAGCTCGTAGGGTGTATAAACGTTCTGTCCTCGGTTGCAACACTCACTATCAAGTTCCAAACTGCCTCTGGAAGCAACGTCAGCGCAAAACTGTTCGTTGGGAGTTTCCATGGCCGAGCAGCCACACACAAGCCTATGATCACAATGTGCAATGCCAAGAGTCGGCTTGAGTGGTGTAAAGCTCATAGCCATTGGACTCTGGGGCAGTGGAAATGCGTTCTCTGGAGTAACGCTACACCATCTGGCAGTCCGCTGGACGAATCTGGGTTTGGCAGATGTTAGGAGAACACTATCTGCCCGAATGCGTAGTGCCAACTGTAAAGTTTGGTGGAGTAGGAATAATGATCTGGGGCTGTTTTTCATGGTTCGGGCAAGGCCTCTTAGTTCCAGTGAAGGGAAATCTTAACGCTATAGCATACAATGACATTCTAGACGATTCTGTGCTTCCGACTTTGCGGCAACAGTTTGGGGAAGGCCCTTTCCTGTTTCAGCATGACAATGCCCCCATGCACAAAGCGAGGTCCATACAGAAATGGTTTGTTGAGATCGGTGTAGATGAACTTGACTGTCCTGCACAGAGCCCTGACCTCAACCCCATCGAACACCTTTGGGATGAATTGGAACGCCGACTGCAAGCCAGGCCTAATCACCCAGCATCAGTGCACAACCACACTAATGCTCTTGTGGCGGAATGGAAGCAAATATCTGCAGCAATGTTCCAACATCTAGTGGAAAGCCTTCCCAGAAGACTGGAGGCTGTTAAAGCAGCAAAGGAGGGACCAACTCCATATTAATGCCCATGATTTTGGAATGAGTAGGTTTGTCCAAACTTTTGACTGGTACTGTACATACAGTTGAAGTTGGAAGTTTACATACACTGTCACGGTTTCGGCCGAGGCTGCTCCTCCTCCTTGTTCGGGCAGGCTTCGGCGGTCGTCGTCCCCGGAGTACTAGCTGCCACCGTTCGATGTTTCATGTTTGTTTGGTTTTGTCTGTTTGTACACCTGTCCCTTGTTAGTGTTTGATTTTGTTTCCTATTTAGTTATCGTGTGTTGGGTCAGGTGTTATGTGTGATTGTTTTTTGTCAAGCTGTTGCTCTCTGTATTTACTCTCGTGTTTTGTTGTTTTTCGAGAGTCCGCACTGTGTGCGCTATCGTCGTTTTACGCACTGTGTTTATTGTGCGTAATTTGTATTTTGCCTCCCGGTTGGGTTGGCTGTTCGCCTGTTTGGTGCTGCTTTCGTTTACTAAAGTCTGTTCACGAACGCCCGTGTTTCCTGCGCTTGATTTCCACACCGCATCTACACTCAGCTACTGACATACACCTAGGTTGGAGTCATTAAAACTAGTTTTTCAACCACTCCACAAATTTCTTGTTAACAAACTATAGTTTTGGCAAGTCGGTTAGGACATCTACTTTTTGCATGACACAAGCAATTCTTCCAACAATTGTTTACAGACAAATTATTTCACTTATAATTCACTGTATCACAATTCCAGTGGGTCAGAAGTTGACTGTACCTGTAAACAGCTTGGCAAATTCCAGAAAATGATGTCATGGCTTTAGAAGCTTCTGATAGGCTAATTGACATAATTTGAGGTGTACCTGTGGATGTATTTCAAGGCCTACCTTGAAACTAAGTGCCTCTTTGGTTGACATCATGGGAAAATCAAAAGAAATCAGCCAAGACCTCAGAAAAAAAAGTAGACTTCCACAAGTCTGGTTCATCCTTGGGAGCAATTTCCAAATGCCTGAAGGTACCACGTTCATCTGTAAAAACAATAGTTTGCAACACCATGGGACCACGCAGCCGTCATACCGCTCAGGAAGGAGACGCGTTCTGTCTCCTAGAGATGAACGGACTTTGGTGTGAAAAGTGCAAATCAATCCCAGAACAACAGCAAAGGACCTTGTGAAGATGCTGGAGGAAACAGGTACAAAAGTATCTATATCCACAGTAGAACGAGTCCTATATCGACATAACCTGAAAGGCCGCTCAGCAAGGGAGAAGCCACTGCTCCAAAACCGGCATAAAAAAGCCAGAGTACGGTTTGCAACTGCACATGGGGACAAAGATCGTACTTTTTGGAGAAATGTCCTCTGGTCTGATGAAACAAAAATAGAACTGTTTGGCCATAATGACTATCATTAAGTTTGGAGGAAAAAGGGGTTTGCTTGCTAGCCGAATAACACCATCCCAACCGTGAAGCACGGGGGTGGCAGCATCATGCTGTGGGGGTGCTTTGCTGCAGGAGGGACGGGTGCACTTCACAAAATAGATGGCATCATGAGGAAGGAAAATTATGTGGAATATATTGAAGCAACATCTCAAGACATCAGTCAGGAAGTTAAAGCTTGGTCACAAATGGGTCTTCCAAATGGACAATGACCCGAAGCATACTTCCAAAGTTGTGGCAAAATGGCTTAAGGACAACAAAGTCAAGGTATTGGAGTGGCCATCACAAAGCCCTGACCTCAATCCTGTAGAATATGTGTGGGCAGAACTGAAAAAGCATATGCAGAGCAAGGAGGCCTACAAACCTGACTCAGTTACACCAGCTCTGTCAGGAGGAATGGACCAAAATTCACCCAACTTATTGTGGGAAGCTTGCGGAAGGCTACCCGAAACGTTTGACCCAAGTTAAACAATTTAAAGGCATTGCTACTACATACAAATTGAATGTATGTATACTTCTGACCGACTGGGAATGTGATGAAATAAATAAAAGCTGAAATAAATCATTCTCTCTAGTATTATTCTGACATTTCACATTCTTAAAATAAAGTGGTGATCCTAACTGACCTAAGACAGGGAATTATTACTAGGAGTAAATGTCAGGAATTATGAAAAACTGAGTTTAAATATATTTGGCTAAGATGTATGTAAACTTCCAACTTCAACTGTGTATACGGTATTTCCGTTTTTATTTTTAAGACATTTACAAAAATGTTGAAAAACCCGTTTTCGCTTTGTCATTATGGGGTATTGTGTGTAGATTGATGAGGAAAGAAATTAATTTAATCCATTTTAGAATAAGGATGTAACGTGACAAAAAAGTTAAAGTGTCTGAATACCTTCCGAATGCACTGTATATATATATATATTTTACTATTATGTGTGTGTATTGTTTTGTATTGCTAGATATTAATGCACTGCTAGAAAACACAAGCATTTTGCTGCACCTGCGATAACTTCTGCAAATCTATGTACTCAACCAATAAACTTTGATTCCATTTTTATAAGAGACTAGGAAGCAGGGAGCTAAGAAACAGAGACAGTACAACTAGAATGTTTTGTTCAAATATTGCAAACTAGTACAGTACTGTATGTTACTGAATGTAGCATATTACACTTGAAATATTTCAGATAACCAGAAAATGCCAGATGGAACTGTGAAATATAGATGCTTCTGGAGATGGTTTATGATTCCATAAATCAAACTTTTCTAATATGATTATGTTACTGTATCCAACTCCGCCACAGTTGTTATCAAGCTTGTTTTTTATGATGTTACAGAGAAACAGGGTTGATATTTGTAATGTACATTATGGTGTCAACATTTTACTACACTTTTATACTGAATGTTTTACATTGACTACAAATAATATAATTCCCTTGCATAGTCTGTCATACAGATATCAATGTTTAGTCCGATAATTAAATAGTTCTCCATTCAACTCACAAATTGCATTGTATTATTTCCTGTTACAATTTTCTGCTTGCCCGAATAGCCTTATGACACTGTCACTGTACTAAGCCATAGGTATTATAATTGATATTGCTCCGTGCTCTCAGTCTCACCATTAACAGTACAATAACTCATTTTGTTAATCCCCTAATTGAATTCTAGGTCAACAGACTATGGAACCTCATATGAGAAACTTAATGAAAAGGTTGGACCAAAAACCATACTAAGCTACTTGTACGTGAGTCCGAATAACAAACGGAAGGTATGTCCTCATACATGTCTTACCATGTACCATAACATAACCATATCTGTTTGTTGTCCTTAACCCTTACAAAAAACACGTCTTATTTGCAGTTTCATATAAGAAAAGCGCATTTTCACATGTTGAGCTTAAATTTCAGGGCAGGTCTCATAGATTAGACGTAACATAGTAAATGTAAATCCGGGACACTCAAATTAGTATCAGATGTTACGTTTGGTAAGGTTACATAAGACAGAAGGTTACTTCAACCAAAAACAAAAGTATGGTGGTTGGTCGGGGTGGATGGGTAAGCGTATAACGTTAATTTCTAGGAACCCAAAGGTTGCGTGTTCAAATCTCATCACGGACAACTTTAGCATTTTAGCTAATTAGAAACTGTGTAACTACTTAATACTTTTTAGCTACTCAAAACAACTTAGCATGTTAGCCAACCCTTCCCCTAACCTTAACCCTTTAACCTAACTCCTAACCCTAACCTTAACTCTAACCTTAACCCCTAAACCCTAGCCTAGCTAACGTTAGACGCCTAGCTAACAGCATTAGCAACAACAAATTGGAATTCATAACTTATCATACGTTTTACAATTTCGTAGCATGTCATACATACCATAGCATACGGAACGTAACATATCATACTATTTCGAATGTCCCGGATTTACATTTACTATGTTACGTCTACCTCTGAGTCCAGGTTAACATTTCACCTGTGACACCACCTGTATTACATTTAGAGTTCACATGTTAACACCACCTTTTCTTGTGAGAAAAAAAAGATGTTTTCACCTCATGTGAATTGCAGTTGCACATTTCAAATGTGCAGTTTCACATGTAAGAAAACTACACGTGAAAATCTAACAAATTCACATGTGGTGGTGAAATAGCAGTTACAAAGCACACATGTGAAACGTATAATATCACGTGAAATGTTGGGAAACCATATGTATCTGAGTCATGTGAAACTTCACACGTGTCTGAACACCACGTCTGACTCGCGTGTCTGTTTTTCCCATGTTACATTTTTCATGTGATTTGTTCTCGTGTAAAATGTATGTGCAATGTCACACGTGTCCAAAAACCATATGTGTCTTACTCGTCAAAATTTCACGTGCAAATTTTTTATTTTATTTTCACGTGATTTATTTCATGTGTTATTTTTGTACGGGAAACTCTTAACAATAGTATAATTATCAAGTTGAATCATTACGGACATGAATGGATAATAATAATTAATGCTAAATGTTGTGATTTATAAATCTCTCCTCTCGTCTCCTGACCTGTCCTCTCTCATCTCAGATCATGTTACTGACTGACCTGGAGGTGGAGAGCAGCCTGCTCATTAGCCTTGATGAGGGTGCATCCTATCAGAGGTACCACTTAGCCTTCGACATCATCAGCCTCCTCTTCCACCCCGAGCAGGAGGACTGGATCCTGGCTTACAGCCACGACCAAAAGGTAAATTATAACTGAGGAGTGAGGAGGGGGGAGAAAACACACACAACTTGATTGAGGTAAGGGTCTTGTTAATGCTAGTGAGTCTATTGACCTTATTGACATTAACAAGATGTTTACTTCAACTGTAGCTGTGTGCTCTACACTTCTGCCTGTTCTTTCATTAGCATCATTGTCTCCCAGAGGGGAAAGCACCTCCCACCTCTTAGTAGCCGACACATCAATGTACTATGTTCAGAGTAGTGGACTTCACTTCAAGAGACATCTGTCACCCAAGCCATGACAGCTCTGGCCAAAGTCTAGACAGCTCACCACATGTTCTCCCAAACAGGCCACATGGTCTGGCTTGAGAGTCCAAACTAGAGATGTGTTAGTTAATGTCCCAAACAGGAGACCTGAGACCACACTTATTATTCTCAAGGAGAACCCAACTGTTTGTTTTATTCAACACAACAGAGATCAAACTCTCCCCTCCCATCCTGCTATTGACTTGATTATGAGAGAGAGTGCAGTCAAAGGCTGAGAAGTAAGATAAATGGTGAGGTGGAGCGATGAGATGCTTTATTGAGAGCCATCAATATGGTTGAAATGAAGAAGCTGGGGAGAAGTTATCCCTGAGTTCACTCCATATCTTTCTGTTAAAATAAAGATGTGGTTGTTTTCCTCTCTGTATGGTTTCCTTGTTCTGTTTCTATTTTTATATTCAATCATTTATTTGCTGTATTTTACTGTGCAATAGTATTGACTGTTATAGCAGGATGGATGACATGTATTTTGAGAGCTTGGATAACAGCCCTACTCTACTGAAAGAGGGAGGTCAATAGCATAATGCAAAGGGATTATACTGATGGTTAAGTGTGTCATTTTATAATGTAAATTAGGGAACAATCCTATGGCGGTAGACAGGTACCACTGGGAGCCAAAACGAGCCTGTCATAATAAAAAAGTATCTCTCTCTCTCTCTCTCTCTCTCTCTCTCTCTCTCTCTCTCTCTTCTCTCTCTCTCTCTCTCTCTCTCTCTCTCTCTCTCTCTCTCTCTCTCTCTCTCTCTCTCTCTCTCTCTTTCTGTCTCAAACAGTCACAAAGCATTAAATCATTAACTCAAATATGAAGTACTCTTTTCAAGCCTTCTTTAAAGCTTCAACTGTACAGCACTCATAACATAAACATTCAAACTAAGTGCTCTAAAGTGCAGTGCAAAACCAGAAAAAACATGGCAATATAATTGAAATGTTGTATGAGCCTCCATGAGACTTACATGACAGTCCCTAAAATGGGGCAGAGAATTCTCCAGGTCTGATGTTTCCTTCGTTTGAACTCTTAGTTTGAACTCTGGAATAAAATGTTCTGCTTTCTCTTCAGATTTTTTAAACTCTGGAATGTTTTTTTCTTGCAGCTCTATGTCTCTGTTGAATTTGGAAGAAGATGGCAGCTCGTGCATGAGAGTGTAGTCCCCAACAGATTTTACTGGTGAGAGTAAAAATCTCTTTCTATCATCATTGGACACATACTTAAAGTCTCTGTAATACAATATTCATACAAAGTACCACACTTTCCTCTACAGATAGCATTTTGAACTGATAGCCCATCAGAATTGACACATTGAATTTAATCTCTTAAGAAGTACCTGCTAGTACCTGAGTTGAACTCAATAGATGGCATATAGTAGATACAATTATGGTCCTGATGAACAAATGAATAGTTGAAGTAGATATTCGTACACACTTTTGTTAAGGTCCAACAGTTGTGCTTAAGAAATAATGTATTTAGTACTGGTCACTAATCTACATTATTTGCCAGACATACAGTAACTTAATGCAGTAGTGCCTGTTGCCAGATTATGATAATATGAATGTGTTTTTACAAAACATAATAATTTATATTTTACAAGGTAGCAAGGGAGATCAATACTTTTTGTGTGATTAGGTAGCCTTTAACGTTTTGATAAATAACACCATTAGGACAACATCACCTCTTAAAGTGGATGACTCAATTAGAATACCTTAATTAGGTCATATTTCACATTTACTAATAACTTATTTCACAAACATTGTCACTTGGGAACAAATTATGATAAAGTGCTTTTTAGCCCAAAACAGGAGCCAAAGAAAGATGCAGTGGAAGCAATGTACCATCAAATTAAAGCCATTATTGGCCTCTTGTGCTAAACAGTTGATATATTTGCCCTAAGATTTCCTGGTGGAGATGATACAACAGTAGAGCTGGATGCAATATTGAGTGACACATTAGCTTCTTAATTAGTCATATGATTAATTAATACTAGTTTGCAATTACTTATCAACCTGTGGTCACAAATTTACAGTATGTGTGTGTTGTGTATGGAGGTACAGTATACGTACAGGTTGTGTGTATAGATGGGTTGGTTGTTTAGCAACAATACCGACACGTGCGCATCTAGGGGGCAAAACGGTGTTGGCTTAGATTGTTGAAATGTTAAAACTATATTTAGTCTCCAAATGTTTGTTGAAAACATAAATACATTTGCACAATGAGCACTTGTTGTCTCTCAAATACATCGTTACAGTTGTTGGTTAGCTAGCTAGCTAGCGGATTTTATCCATGTTAGCATTGAAATGAAATCACTCAAAACACCTCAAAACAAGACATGGTATCAAGAACAAGATAAAACTAGCTGAAACGAGCCACCTACGATTCCCCACATGGCAGCTTTTTGTATTGTTGCTAGCTATCTGACCGTTCAGAATCATAACAAAGCACGGCTTCCAGCCCCATCGATGCACGTGCATCATTTCCGTGATGTTGTCAGCCAACCCGTCTATAGATCTACATTATGCAATATTGTGCAATATTGCTGCTTTCAATTCCATGTATCTGCTTTCCTTTTTATAGTATTGATGAAATATAAGTGATTTGACGTCTTTTGATACAGTATTGGTTAATGTCGTTGATCTCATATAGAGAGGACAAGGACACGTCATGTGTTATAGAGGTCACTGGTGAGTGACAGAGGGTCGGTGTGCCAAGATAGATTGGGGGCCACTTGTGCTAATCTTAGAAGGAGTACGCGATGGAATTGCCTGGCTAGGGTGCCACAAGATACCATGTATGGGGTTCCTATTGCAGGAGATAAGTGACACTCAATGATGGTTGGCAGCTGATGGACAGAAGTAGCTCGGAAGGCATTATATAAACTGAGAGATTTGTCTATGTAATTCATTCAGATGACAAGAGGCTACGCACGTACCGCTTGTCATTGAATCCAGTACTGTAACCATTAAATTATGACTGAATCAACTCCCCATATCAGTGGTTGACTACTCTCTTGCATCCTGAACTTCTCGATACCAGAAACCCATCATAACAATAAGATGTATTGGTTAACTTTAGACCGCTTGGGTTTAAATATCTATTCCATATTTCATTGTTGTTTTCAACTTCAATGATCATGATATTATTGTCATCAATTATAAAATTGTCCTCTCAGAGGAAAACAGAGGTGTAGGCCCTCTTCCCAAGCGTTTATTATCTGTTTTGTTTGTGGAATGAATATTACATTTAGGTAGGGCATGCATATTTCAGCAAGGACAAAATACAGTTAATATTTTCAGTTCATTTACTCTTCATATATTTTGCTGCTCCATATACTGCAGTTTATGTTACAGTAGCCTCGACTTGGCAGAGTTACACCATCAACCTGTTAACAAGCAACATAGCTCACACAATGCAGGCATGTAGTCCATACATTCCAGAGTGATAGAAGAACATATAAGGAGCCTGTTTAAGAACATGGGGCTGCTGTTCTCCAATAGAAGAGGATGAAGTATTTGACAGGAAGTCCATTAAAAAAAGATGGAGCAGAAAGACAATTACAGAGTGCTGAGGGAAGCAGGATGGGCCCTTTTTTATTATGTCTCAGACACTGACACAGTATGGAAAGTGAGGAGAAACCCATCTTCTTCCACACTTAGCTAGCTGCTATTAATGCAACAAGTGGTCACGCTTGTCGCTCTGCACTTAACCGCTGCCTCCCAGTCGTGGCTATTTTGAAAGAGGATGAAATGGCTCTGAGGCACCTTCCCTCTGAATTACCCCACAGGCCCAGTGATTGATGGGGCCATGTTTGTGGGTGTCACAGATTCTGCCGAGACTGCCCTTCCTTCTGGCTCGGGCAGGCTTCGGCGTTCGTCGTCACTGGAGTACTAGCTGCTGCCACTCTATGTTATATGTTTCTATGTTCATTTGATTGTTGTCTGTTGTTGCACACCTGTTCCCTATTATGTTAGTTTGTCTTCCCTATTTAACCTGTTCACGTCCACTGTGTGGTGTGCGTGTTTATTGGATTGGACGAGTGTCATTTTGTGAGCGGGATTGCTCCTCCCTTGTTGTTGGAGGTTTACTTGTATTTCTTTACTTCTCAGTAAAGTGGTTCTTCATCTCATTCTGTGTCCTGCGCTTGACTCTGGCCTACCGCATTCCACCGACATTCGTGAGAGTGGGAAATGTTTGTTGTCGTTGTTATATTTTCAACAAGAAAGGGATCAACATTTCAAGCAGTTAGGTTCCCTATTATAATTTCATTTAATCAAAATAAACATTGTCTTCCTTCAAATGTCTTCCAACATGACTCTCTAGAAAGCTAATGTTTTAATAGCGCGATTGAACAGAGGGGTTGACATTTGTAAATGAGTATCTCTGTTCTGAGTTCTGCTTTTGATACATTTCTCTTTCTCTCACTTTTTTTATGACTTTGTGAAGCACTGTCACAGGATCCTTTTGGAATAGAAGAGAACAAACAGAATGATTATTAATGTTTCCCATACAGTTTGACATCAGCGTGCCTTTCTTGATCTTTTTAAACAGATTATTTATTTAATCACAAGGCACACCTACAGTATACTCTTCAATGAACATATACAGTGGGGAGAACAAGTATTTGGTACACTGCCGATTTTGCAGGTTTTCCTACTTATAAAGCATGTAGAGGTCTGTAATTTTTATCATAGGTACACTTCAACTGTGAGAGACGGAATCTAAAACAAAAATCCAGAAAATCAAATTGTATGATTTTTAAGTAATTAATTTGCATTTTATTGCATGACATAAGTATTTGATCACGTACCAACCAGTAAGAATTCCGTCTCTCACAGACCTGTTAGTTTTTCTTTAAGAAGCCCTCCTGTTTTCCACTCATTACCTGTTTTAACTGCACCTGTTTGAACTTGTTACCTGTATAAAAGACACCTGTCCACACACTCAATCAAACAGACTCCAACCTCTCTACAATGGCCAAGACCAGAGAGCTGTGTAAGGACATCAGTGATAAAATTGTAGACCTGCACAAGGCTGGGATGGGCTACAGCACTATAGGCAAGCAGCTTGGTGAGAAGGCAACAACTGTTGGCGCAATTATTAGAAAATGGAAGAAGTTCAAGATGACGGTCAATCACCCTCGGTCTGGGGTTCCATGCAAGATCTCACCTCGTGGGGCATCAATGATCATGAGGAAGGTGAGGGATCAGCCCAGAACTACACGGCAGGACCTGGTCAATGACCTGAAGAGAGCTGGGACCACAGTCTCAAAGAAAACCATTAGTAACACACTACGCCGTCATGGATTAAAATCCTGCAGCGCACGCAAAGTCCCCCTGCTCAAGCCAGCGCATGTCCACGCCCGTCTGAAGTTTGCCAATGACGATCTGGATGATCCAGAGGAGGAATGGGAGAAGGTCATGTGGTCTGATGAGACAAAAATAGAGCTTTTTGGTCTAAACTACACTCGCCGTGTTTGGAGGAAGAAGAAGGATGAGTACAACCCCAAGAACACCATCCCAACCGTGAAGCATGGAGGTGGAAACATCATTCTTTGGGGATGCTTTTCTGCAAAGGGGACAGGACGACTGCACCGTATTGAGGGGAGGATGGATGGGGCCATGTATCGCGAGATCTTGGCCAACAACCTCCTTCCCTCAGTAAGAGCATTGAAGATGGGTCGTGGCTATGTCTTCCAGCATGACAACGACCCGAAACACACAGCCAGGGCAACTAAGGAGTGGCTCCGTAAGAAGCATCTCAAGGTCCTGGAGTGGCCTAGCCAGTCTCCAGACCTGAACCCAATAGAAAATCTTTGGAGGGAGCTGAAAGTCCGTATTGCCCAGCGACAGCCCCGAAACCTGAAGGATCTGGAGAAGGTCTATATGGAGGAGTGGGCCAAAATCCCTGCTGCAATGTGTGCAAACCTGGTCAAGACCTACAGGAAACGTATGATCGCTGTAATTGCAAACAAAGGTTTCTGTACCAAATATTAAGTTCTGCTTTTCTGATGTATCAAATACTTATGTCATGCAATAAAATGCAAATTAATTACTTAAAAATCATACAATGTGATTTTCTGGATGTTTGTTTTAGATTCCGTCTCTCACAGTTGAAGTGTACCTTTGATTAAAAATTACAGACCTCTACATGCTTTGTAAGTAGGAAAACCTGCAAAATCGGCAGCGTATCAAATACTTGTTCTCCCCACTGTATCTGGGTAATGAGCTAAATGCACACATCATTGCTGAAAATGTTCAAATCATGAATTGATTGATACTACTATAAATCCATACATATTTACCATATGATGCACATATTATAATTGGATAAATGTTTTTCTATGTTCCTCAGTTGTCTCTCCTTTCCCCACAGGTCAAAATTGGGTTTGGACAAAGAGCCAGGAATGATTCACTTGGAGACCAGTGTTTCTGACAGACGTGAGTCATCATCACATCTAGGACATCATCTTTAAGGACTTTATTATAGGGACACTTGGGATCATTTACACACACAAGTGACATCTTCCATCTGCTAAACAGCCTTTAAAGCAGGGTTCTGCAACTGGCAGCCCATGGGCCAAATTTGTCCCGCGGGTGGACTCAAATATCACATGAATACACATTAAACATGACAAAATGTGTAGAATTGAAGGAAATAAGCTTTAAACCTGAATAATTATCTCCACCAACAAGAGGGGTGTGAACTGTTTGTGTCATGAACATTGCTTGTGCCCATAAAAATAGACATGGCCCGTGCGCGCAGGGGGGGGGTGGGGGGTGTGGGATGTTCCCTAATGCTGGAAAGGGGGCCCGAGTGAAAAAGTTTGGGAAACCCTGATCAAAGGGGCAATTGGTCTGACTAGGCTCTTAAGTTGGACGGAGTGTTGAGATTGTCTGTTCCATAAGGGCCCCAGTGTTAATGTCTTGTCCCTGAGGAGAATGGCTCATTTGGCTGTAGCTAACACGCAGGGACACTCATTCCATCTCTGTTAATAGTGGAAATAGAAATTGGCTTCCTTGCTTTTCTGCTTTCCACTATCAATGTAGTTAATGCTAGACTCGATTAAATTGTCCCGAAGCACTTATTTTCGCCTCGTACATTGCATAAATTATTTAACGTCTGTTATAGGGTCCCAGTATATAACGTGTAAGCTGCAGAACTGCTCAGAGGCCAACAAAGGCAGGCCTTTCCCTGGATTTATCAGCCCTGATTCCCTGGTGGTTCAGGACCAGTATGTTTTCATTCAGGTGGGAATTTTGAATGTTTCTGTCATAATACAAATGCACTAAAACTGCTGTGTGAAAAACTTGTAAGTATTAATGACAATAAACCAAGAGAGAATGGTATAAAACCATACAAATAACACTATTACATCATTAGTCTGTCAGACCAATTTAGAGTGATTTACCGCAAAATGAACTGCTCTAAATGAAATACACATAATTGGATTTCTCTAGGTACCAATGGGTGGCCGGCCTGTCCATTATGTGTCTTACAAAAGAAATACCTTCTTCCCCATGAAGCTACCTAAGTACATATTGCCAAAGGTGGGTTGGAAATATTACCTTGAGATTAAAATACTTTAGTATTACTACTATCATGTTATAAATCCAGTGAAAATCTGTTTCTTACCCTTTTGAACTGTTTTGATATTATAACACTAATGAAAAATATATGTTCTTGCTTTTCCTGCTTTCCCAGGGCAAGCTTTAATGAAATAAACATAAAAAGATGGAATAGAAAGTATATATATATATATATATATATATATATATATATATATATATATATATATACATATAGTACCAGTCAAAAGTTTGGACACACCTACTCATTCAATGGTTTTTCTTTAGTTTTACTAGTTTTACTACATCAAAACTATGAAATAACACATATGGAATCATGTAGTAACCAAAGAAGTGATAAACAAATCAAAATAAATTGTATATTTGAGATTCTTTAAATAGCCACCCTTTGCCTTGATGACAGCTTTGCACACTTTTGGCATTCTCTCAACCAGCTTCACCTGGAATGCTTTTCCAACAGTCTTGAAGTTCCCACATATGCTGAGCATTTGTTGGCTGCTTTTCCTTCACTCTGCGGTCCGACTCATCACAAAACATCTCGATTTGGTTGAGGTCGGGGGATTGTGGAGGCCAGGTCATCTGATGCAGCACTCCATCACTCTCCTTCTTGGTAAAATAGCCCTTACACAGCCTGGAGGTGTGTTGGGTCATTGTCCTGTTGAAAAACAAATGATAGTCCCACTAAGCCCAAACCAGATTGAATGGCGTATCGCTGCAGAATGCTGTGGTAGCCATGATTGTTAAGTGTGCCTTGAATTCTAAATAAATCACAGACAGTGTCACCAGCAAAGCAACACCATAACATCTCCTCCTCCATGCTTTAAGGTGGGAAATACACATGCGGAAATCATCTGTTCACCCACACCGCATCTCACAAAGACATGGTGGTTGAAACCAAACATCTCCAATTTGGACTCCAGACCAAAGGACACATTTCCACCGGTCTAATGTCCATTGCTTGTGTTTCTTGGCCCAAGCAAGTCTCTTCTTCTTCTTATTGGTGTCCTTTAGTAGTGTTTTTTTTGCAGCAATTCGACCATGAAGGCCTGATTCACACAGTCTCCCCTGAACAGTTGATGTTGAGATGTGTCTGTTACTTGAACTCTGTGAAGCATTTATTTGGGCTGCAATTTCTGAGGCTGGTAAATCTAATGAACTTATCCTCTGCAGCAAAGGTAACTCTTGGTCTTCCATTCCTGTGGCGGTCCTCATGAGAGCCAGTTTCATCATAGCGCTTGATGGTTTTTGTGAATGCACTTGAAGAAACTTTCTTGAAATGTTCCGTATTGACTGACCTTCATGTCTTACAGTAATGATGGACTGTCATTTCTCTTTGCTTATTTTAGCTGTTCTTGCCATAATATGGACTTGGTCTTTTACCAAATAGGGCTATCTTCTGTATAACCCCCCTACCTGTCACAACACAACTGATTGGCTCAAACACATTAAGAAGGAAATATATTCCACAAATTAACTTTTAATTAACAAGGCACAGCTGTAATAAAGGGAATTATATGTTTTTAAAGGATATGTATATGTGTATGTATGTGTGTATATGTATTTATGTATATGTATGTGTATGTGTATGTATATATACAGTGAGGGAAAAAAGTATTTGATCCCCTGCTGATTTTGTAAGTTTGCTCACTGACAAAGACATGATCTGGGGGGTAGAAGGATTACTTTATCCTATCCCAGGTATTCCTTAAAGAGGTGGGGTTTCAAATGTCTCCGGAAGGTGGTGAGTGACTCCGCTGTCCTGGCGTCGTGAGGGAGCTTGTTCCACCATTGGGGTGCCAGAGCAGCGAACAGTTTTGACTGGGCTGAGCGGGAACTGTGCTTCCGCAGAGGAAGGGGAGCCAGCAGGCCAGAGGTGGATGAACGCAATGCCCTCGTTTGGGTGTAGGGACTGATCAGAGCCTGAAGGTACGGAGGTGCCGTTCCCCTCACAGCTCCATAGGCAAGCACCATGGTCTTGTAACAGATGCGAGCTTCAACTGGAAGCCAGTGGAGTGTGCGGAGGAGCGGGGTGACGTGAGAGAACTTGGGAAGGTTGAACACCAGACGGGCTGTGGAATTCTGGATGAGTTGTAGGGGTTTAATGGCACAGGCAGGGAGCCCAGCCAACAGCGAGTTGCAGTAATCCAGACGGGAGATGACAAGTGCCTGGATTAGGACCTGTGCCGCTTCCTGTGTAAGGCAGGGTCGTACTCTCCGAATGTTGTAGAGCATGAACCTACAGGATCGGGTCACCGCCTTGATGTTAGCGGAGAACGACAGGGTGTTGTTCAGGGTCACGCCAAGGCTCTTCGCACTCTGGGAGGAGGACACAACGGAGATGTCAACCGTGATGGCGAGATCATGGAACGGGCAGTCCTTCCCCGGGAGGAAGAACAGCTCCGTCTTGCCAAGGTTCAGCTTGAGGTGGTGATCCGTCATCCATACTGATATGTCTGCCAGACATGCAGAGATGCGATTCGCCACCTGGTTATCAGAAGGGGGAAAGGAGAAGATTAGTTGTGTGTCGTCTGCGTAGCAATGATAGGAGAGGCCATGTGAGGATATGACAGAGCCAAGTGACTTGGTGTATAGCGAGAATAGGAGAGGGCCTAGAACTGAGCCCTGGGGGACACCAGTGGTGAGAGCACGTGGTGCGGAGACAGCTTCTCGCCACGTCACTTGGAAGGAGCGACCGGTCAGGTAGGACGCAATCCAAGAGTGAGCCGTGCCGGAGATGCCCAGCTCGGAGAGGGTAGAGAGGAGGATTTGATGGTTCACAGTATCAAAGGCAGCAGACAGGTCTAGAAGGACAAGAGCAGAGGAGAGAGAGTTAGCTTTAGCAGTGCGGAGAGCCTCCGTGACACAGAGAAGAGCAGCCTCAGTTGAATGACCAGTCTTGAAACCTGACTGGTTTGGATCAAGAAGGTCATTCTGAGAGAGATAGCAAGAGAGTTGGCTAAAGACGGCACGCTCAATAGTTTTGGAAAGAAAAGAAAGAAGGGATACTGGTCTGTTGTTGTTGACATCAGAGGGATCGAGTGTTGGTTTTTTGAGAAGGGGTGCAACTCTCACTCTCTTGAAGACGGAAGGGACATAGCCAGCGGTCAAGGATGAGTTGATCAGCGAGGTGAGGTAGGGGAGAAGGTCACCGGAGATGGTCTGGAGAAGAGAGGAGGGGATAGGGTCAAGCGGGCAGGTTGTTGGGCGGCCTGCAGTCACAAGTCGCAAGATTTTATCTGGAGAGAGAGGGGAGAAAGAAGTCAAAGCATAGGGTAGGGCAGTGTGAGCAGGACCAGCAGTGTCATTTGACTTAACAAACGAGGATCGGATGTCGTCAACCTTCTTTTCAAAGTGGTTGACGAAGTCATCCACAGAGAGGGAGGGGGGGGGGGGGGGGTAGGAGGATTCAGCAGGGAGGAGAATGTGGCAAAGAGCTTCCTAGGGTTAGAGGCAGATGCTTGGAATTTAGAGTGGTAGAAAGTGGCCTTAGCAGCAGAAACAGATGAATAAAATGTAGAGAGGAGGGAGTGAAAAGATGCCAGGTCCGCAGGGAGTCTAGTTTTCTTCCATTTCCGCTCAGCTGCCCGGAGCTCTGTTCTGTGAGCTCGCAATGAGTCATCAAGCCACGGAGCTGGAGGGGAGGACCGAGCCGGCCGGGAGGATAGGGGACATAGAGAGTCAAAGGATGCAGAAAGGGAGGAGAGGAGTGTTGAGGAGGCAGAATCAGGAGATTGGAGGGAGAAGGATTGAGCAGAGGGAAGAGATGATAGGATGGAAGAGGAGAGAGTAGCGGGAGAGAGAGAGCGAAGGTTGCGGCGGCGCATTACCATCGGTGTAGGGGCAGAGTGAGTAGTGTTGGAGGAGAGCGAAAGAGAAAAGGATACAAAGTAGTGGTCGGAGACATGGAGGGGAGTTGCAGTGAGATTAGTAGAAGAACAGCATCTAGAAAAGATGAGGTCAAGCGTATTGCCTGCCTTGTGAGTAGGGGGGGACGGTGAGAGGGTGAGGTCAAAAGAGGAGAGGAGTGGAAAGAAGGAGGCAGAGAGAAATGAGTCAAATGTAGACGTAGGGAGGTTGAAATCCCCCAGAACTGTGAGGGGTGAGCCATCCTCAGGAAAGGAACTTATCAAGGCGTCAAGCTCATTGATGAACTCTCCAAGGGAACCTGGAGGGCGATAGATGACAAGGATATTAAGCTTAAATGGGCTAGTGACAGTGACAGCATGGAATTCAAATGAGGAGATAGACAGATGGGTTAGGGGAAAAATTGAGAATGTCCACTTGGGAGAGATGAGGATTCCTGTGCCACCACCCCGCTGACCAGATGCTCTCGGGGTATGCGAGAACACATGGTCAGACGAGGAGAGAGCAGTAGGAGGAAGCAGTGTTTTCAGCGGTAATCCATGTTTCCGTCAGCGCCAAGAAGTCGAGGGACTGGAGGGTAGCATAGGCTGGGATGAACTCTGCCTTGTTGGCAGCAGAACGGCAGTTCCAGAGGCTGCCTGAGACCTGGAACTCCAGGTGGGTGGTGCGTGCAGGGTCCACCAGGTTAGAGAGGCAGCAGCCACGCGGTGTGAGGTGTTTGTGTAGCCTGTGCGGAGAGGAGAGAACAGGGATAGGCAGAGGCATAGTTGACAGGCTGCAGCAAATGGCTACAATAATGCAGAGGAGATTGGAATGAAATGAACTAAACATCTGGGAAAGGAGAGAGCGGGGCCTCCCTCACCACAACTCCCAAATATAACTCTCCCAACTTCCACCTCAGAAACTATAATTGTTTCACTGAAACACCCGAATATAACTCTCCCAACTTCCACTTTAGAAATTATAATTGTTGTAAACTACAGCGGTTCAATGTTTCTAGGAATAGACTCTAACTTACTTTATTCAGCTAGCTAACTTGGTACAGTATTCTTCCATGAAAACCGCCCAGGGCACCGTATCCTATGACGCCATAGCTAACTAGCATGCTAGCATCCAATAACACACGGTTTAGCACCAATACTTGGTTACAACAAACTACCAATAGTGTGTTAACACACTAAACAGATCATTCGTGTCCGTGTCTAGTTCCTTTCATAACGCAGCAATAATTAAACGTTGGCTAGCTAGCACAAAGTCAGTCATGCTAGCTACACAAGTGGACTACACATCTCGAATGCTACACAAGTGGACTACACATCTCGAATGTTCAGAAAGGGAAGCTTCTAAAGCCATGACATCATTTTCTGGAATTTTCCAAGCAGTTTAAAGGCACAGTCAACTTCGTGTATGTAAACTTCTGACCCACTGGAATTGTGAAACAGTGAATTATTAGTGAAATAATCTGTCTGTAAACAATTGTTGGAAAAATTACTTCTGTCATGCACAAAGTAGATGTCCTAATGACTGCAACCTAAGTGCATGTAAACTTCCGACTTCAACTGTATATATATATATATATATATATATATATATATATATATATATATATATATATATATATATATATATATTTGCGAGAGAAGAAAAAAACATATGGGGGATTGGAAGTGATGCAGACAATTACATTGATGGAAGTTACAATCTATCTGCAATATAAAAAATTAAAAAAAGATACAAAAATGTCACGATCGTTATTAGATGGGACGAACCAAGATCCCACAAACTAACTGGTGCCAACAGGCTGCCTAAGTATGGTCCCCAATCAGAGACAACGAGCTACAGCTGCCTCTGATTGGGAACCACCCTGGCCAACATAGAACTAAACGATCTAGAACAAAAAACATAGAAAACTAAACATAGAAAATCCACACCCTGGCTCAACATTTCAGTCCCCAGAGCCAGGGCGTGACAAAAAAGAAACAAGTTACACCTGTTAATTGAAATACATTCCAGGTGACTACCTCATGAAGCTGGTTGAGAGAATGCCAAGAGTGTGCAAAGCTGTCATCAATGCAAAGGGTGGCTATTTGAAAAATCTCAAATATAAAATATATTTTGATTTGTTTAACACTTTTTTCGTTACTACATGATTCCATATGTGTTAGTTCATAGTTTTGATGTCTTCACTATTATTTTACAATGTAGAAAATAGTAAAAATAAAGAAAAACCCTTGAATGAGTAGGTGTTCAAAAATGTTTGACCGGTATTGTATCTCTGGGTCTTCCTTTCATGTGGAGGTCCTCATGAGAGCCAGTTTCATCATAGCGCTTGATGGTTTTTTGCGACTGCACTTGAAGAAACTTTGAAAGGTCTTGAACTTTTCTGGATAAACTGATCTTCATGTCTTAAAGTAATGATGGACTGTCGTTTCTCTTTGCTTATTTGAGCTGTTCTTGCCATAATATGGACTTGGTCTTTTACCAAATAAGTATATCTTCTGAATACCACCATTACCTTGTCACAACACAACTGACTACCTCATGAAGCTGGTTGAGAGAATGCCAAGAGTGTGCAAAGCTGTCATCAAGGCAAAGGGTGGCTACACTTTTTTGGTTACTACATGATTCCATATGTGTTATTTCATAGTTTTGATGTCTTCACTATTATTCTACAATGTAGAAAATAGTAAAAATAAAGAAAAGGTAGGTGTGTCCAAACTTTTGACTGGTACTGTATGTATATACATATTATATATACATATTAAAGGAAATATTTCAAGAATGTATTAAACCTTCCACATAGGAATCCCAACACAGAACTGATGTACAAACATCATACTAACAGTAGAATAGTTGTACCGTTGTTTACAGAATTACCCCACTGGATACAGAAATCAGTTCAACATCTAGTTTTGATTGACAGTTTATTTAGTTGTCAACTAATGAAAATTGAATGTGAAATCAAAAGAAATGACATACGATGTCATTGGATATAGGTTAAAAGTTGGGTAAAAATAAAAGTCTAACATTTCCCAAATTGATTTACTTTGATGACTTTTTGTAAATCCTCCAATCAGTTTTCCACGTTGGTTCAACACCATCACATTGATAAAAAAAATTATGATATGGAAAAAACGTTTATTCAACCAGTTTGTGCCCAGTGGGACCACTGGTTTTGTATTGGATTATATTGTATGGCATGGTATCCTAACTCATTATTCCTTTTCCAGGACTTGCAGATAATCAGCATTGATGATAACCAGGTGGTAGCAGCAGTGCAGGACTGGCACCAGAATGACTCCTACAACCTGTACATGTCAGAGGCCCGTGGACTCTTCTTCACTCTGGCCCTGGAGAACATAGTGAGCAGTGTGGGACCAGAGGGCAACGTCATGATAGACCTCTATGAGGTATGTAGCAATGGCTTAGTTAGACTGCCATCCCTGTTTGTATGCACACTACCACTTCTGCCAAGAGGTCTCAACCTTTATTGCACAGTCTACTTGCCCTGTAAGAGCTTGACGTCTTATTGAAGCCCCGATCCTGGCTGTTCCCCCTCATTTCCTATGTTAGGAATTCAAGCAAACACATACATCAGTCATGATGAACTGCCATATCCAAGGATGCAGCATTGTTAGAAACCTGGATTAGCATCTATTTACTCATACAGTATCAGACCCTTATGATCTGTATCTATGAAGTATATAGCTTTGTTAGACATTAACTAGCACGTCCATGCATAACAATGATAACATAACCTTATAAGCTACTGTATGTAGCATTATTAAATTAGCAAAGTTGGCAGGTCTACACACATTAATTAATGATTCACTTCTATTATATCAACCTTAGCTACTGTAGAACCTGCACCAGAGGTGGCACTACAGGTCCCATAGTGGTGTGGTGCAAAAATAATTCTGGGGCCCGTAGTTTTTCCTTATCTGGTAACTTAACCAGGTAAAACTCCAGACCTTATACGGTATGACGTGATTAATCTGTTGTAAAAAGGTTTAATATGAGCAATGATGGGACCAGAGTTTCTCTAATCAGGTCACATGGTTTAAAAAAACTCCTGGAAAAACTCCTGGCCTTGGGGAGGATGAAAACCCTGTCAAACTGCAGCAACCTTGTACTTACATTTTAAAGAAGGACTAGGGGGGTTTCCTATACACAGACACAGAGAAAGCAACGATTGGACAATAAAACTCATAGTGCTGAGCTTGCTTTATGCAGGTTTGCATCGTGTAGTCCTGCCCTATGCAACTCTATTAGGCCTAATAAAAAATGAACTCACAGTCTATGTCAGCTATTGTGTTTATTGATTCATTCCAGTGAATAATTTTGGATTGAAAAAGTCTAGGTAGCCTAGTCAGCCCAAGTTCGAATATAAACCAAATTGGATCCCATTCACATTGTTTCACAAACAAATTCTATTTCCTTACAATTTAAGGTACAATTTAGATACAGAATGGCACTGCAATGAATAGCTGCTGTTTTAAGGGCTCCTGACCATTTCTGCTATTTTCTGTGTTTTTTGCACTGATCTTAACTTCTTTTGTACATAATGTTTCCGCCATGACTGAAAAGAGCTTCTCGATATCAGAACAGCGATCACTAAACTCGATTTGGATGAAGGTTTCTACTTCTACGAGTCGGCGGCACAGGACATACTGCTCACCCCGGACCAGGTCCTAATCCCCGAGACTCAGAAATGGAAGAGACGACGTAAGAGTGGCTGATGTGCGGGCACCCTAATGAAACTACGTAGGCAAATAAATAATTCACCTCTACCCTCCGTTCTATTGGCAAAGATACAATCACTGGAGAACAAATTGGACAAGCTCCGTTCGAGACTAGCCTATCAACAGGACCTGAATAACTGTAATATCCTATGTTTCTCTGAGTCGTGGCTAAACAAGGGCATGGATAATATACATCTAGCTGGTTTTTCTATACATCGGCAGGATCGAATGGCAGCCTCGGGTAGGCTCAAGGGGGGAGGTGTGTGTCTCTTTTTTAACATAATCTGGTGCGAGATCTCTAATATTAAGGAAGTCTTGAGGTTCTGCTCGCCTGAGTTAAAATTCCTCATGATAAACTGTAGACCATACTATTTACCAAGAAAGTTTTCATCTATATATTTCATAGCCGTCTATTTACCACCACAAACTGATGCTGGCACTAAGACCGCACTCAACAAGCTGTATAGGGCCTAACCTGTACGGGATCGGTGTCCCGTATACGGGACGGTTGAGCTAACGTGAGCTAATGTGATTAGCATGACTGTTGTAAGTAAAAGCAAACTTTCCAGGACATAGACATGTCTTATATGGGCAGAAAGCTAAAATTCTTGTTAATCTAACTGCACTGTCCAATTTACAGTAGCTATTACAGTGCAAAAATACCATGCTATTGTTTGAGGAGAGTGCACAACAACAAAAAAACGTATCATGGCAACTGGTTTGATACATTCACCTCGGAAGGTAAATAATGTACTAACATTCAGTAATCTTGCTCTGATTTGTCATCCTAAGGGTCCCAGAGATAAAATGTAGCATAGTTTTGCTTGATAAAATCCATTTTTATATACAAATGTAGAACTGGGTTCTACAATTTGAATACCTGCTGTCTCTGGTTCCACACCCACCCCGCCCAGCCATCTAGATGTGTGAAAGTGTATAAGCTAATGATTCATCATGTATGACATTCCTGGGAGTGTGTAAACTTACATTTTGTATTACCATATTATTTTTGTATGTTCTCTATTGTTATGTACTTGAAAATGTATCAATTGACCAATTTGGCACATTTTTGGCAGACTTGATACAAAATAGTATAGTATTGCAATGCTTCACTGGATCAATCTGAAACTTTGCGAACACACTGCTGCCATCTAGTGGCCAACATCTAAATTGCGCCTAAACTGCAATATTATATTGTGGCCTTTCTCTTGCATTTCAAAGATTATCTGAATTTTTTTTTTTTAAACGCATGTTTTTGATTTGTATTATCTTTTACCAGATCTAATGTGTTATATTCTCCTACATTAATTTCACATTTCCACAAACTTCTAAGTGTTTCCTTTCAAATGGCATCAATAATATGCATATCCTTGCTTCAGGTCCTGAGCTACAGGCAGTTAGATTTGGGTATGTCATTTTAGGCGAAAATTGAAAAAAAGGGTCCGATCCTTAAAAGGTTTTTAAGCAAACAAGAAAATTCTCATCCAGAGGTGGTGCTCCTAGTGGCCGGTGATTTTAATGCAGGGAAACTAAAATCCATTTTACCTCATTTTTACCAGCATGTCACCAGTGCAACTACAGGAGACAAAACTCTAGATCATCTTTACGCCACACACAGAAACGGATACAAAGCTCACCCTCGCCTTCCATTTGGCAAATCTGACCATAACTCTATCCTCTTGATTTCTGCTTACAAGCAAAAAGTCAAACACGAAGAAGCAGTGATGTGCTCCATACGAAGGTGATCTGATGAAGTGGATGCTAAGCTACAGGACTGTTTCGCTAGCACAGACTGGAAAATGTTCCGAGATTCATCCGATGGCATTGAGGACTTTACCACATCAGTCAGTGGCTTCATTCCCGCTACGACCTCCGACGATGCCATCCAACAGGCAAAGCGGCAATACAGGACTAAGATCGAATCATACTACGCTGGCTCTGACGCTCATCGGATGTGGTAGGGCTCGTAAACTATCACGGATTACAAAGGGAAACCCAGCCGCGAGATGGCCAGTGACACGAGCCTACCAGATGTGCGCCGGAGGGTATGGCTGCTGTTTTATGGACTCTTGTTTGTTATTTTGTACATAATGTTGCTGCTCATGGTCCAAGCACACCAAGACAGTCGTGAAGAGGGCACGACAAAACCTATTCTCCCTAAGGAGACTGAAAAGTTTGGCATGGGTCCTCAGATCCTCAAAAGGTTCTACAGAGGCACTACAGAGGGTAGTGCGTATGGCCCAGTACATCACTGGGGCCAAGCTTCCTGCCATCCAGGACCTCTATACAGTGAGGGAAAAAAGTATTTGATCCGCTGCTAATTTTGTACGTTTGCCCACTGACAAAGACATGATCAGTCTATAATTTTAATGGTAGGTTTATCTGAACAGTGAGAGACAGAATAACAAAAAAAAAATCCAGAAAAACGCATGTCAAAAATGTTATAAATTGATTTGCATTTTAATGAGGGAAATAAGTATTTGACCCTTCTGCAAAACATGACTTAGTACTTGGTGGCAAAACCCTTGTTGTCAATCACAGAGGTCAGACATTTCTTGCAGTTGGCCACCAGGTTTGCACACATCTCAGGAGGGATTTTGTTCCACTCCTCTTTGCAGATCTTCTCCAAGTCATTAAGGTTTCGAGGCTGATGTTTGGCAACTCGAACCTTCAGCTCCCTCCACAGATTTTCTATGGGATTAAGGTCTGGAGACTGGCTAGGCCACTCCAGGACCTTAATGTCCTTCTTCTTGAGCCACTCCTTTGTTGCCTTGGCTGTGTGTTTTGGGTCATTGTCATACTGGAATACCCATCCACGACCCATTTTCAATGCCCTGGCTGAGGGAAGGAGGTTCTCACCCAAAATTTGACGGTACATGGCCCCGTCCATCATCCCTTTGATGCGGTGAAGTTGTCCTGTCCCCTTAGCAGAAAAACACCCCCAAAGCATAATGTTTCCACCTCCATGTTTGACGGTGGGGATGGTGTTCTTGGGGTCTTAGGCAGCATTCCTCCTCTTCCAAACACAGCGAGTTGAGTTAATGCCAAAGAGCTCCATTTTGGTCTCATCTGACCACAACACTTTCACCCAGTTCTCCTCTGAATCATTCAGATGTTCATTGGCAATCTTCAGACGGGCCTGTATATGTGCTTCTTGAGCAGGGGGACCTTGCGGGCGCTGCAGGATTTCAGTCCTTCACGGCGTAGTGTGTTCCCAATTGTTTTCTTGGTTATAGCTGCCTTGAGATCATTGACAAGATCCTCCCATGTAGTTCTGGGCTGATTCCTCACCGTTCTCAACTCCACGAGGTGAGATCTTGCATGGAGCCCCAGGCCGAGGGAGATTGACAGTTCTTTTGTGTTTCTTCCATTTGCGAATAATCGCACCAACTGTTGTCACCTTCTCACCAAGCTGCTTGGCGATGGTCTTGTAGCCCATTCCAGCCTTGTGTAGGTCTACAATCTTGTCCCTGACATCCAAGGAGAGCTCTTTGGTCTTGGCCATGGTGGAGAGTTTGGAATCTGATTGATTGCTTCTGTGGACAGGTGTCTTTTATACAGGTAACAAGCTGAGTTTAGGAGCACTCCCTTTAAGAGTGTGCTCCTAATCTCATCTCATTACATGTATAAAAGACACCTGGGAGCCAGAAATCTTTCTGATTGAG